TTGCAATATTTCAGTTGATTTGTAATGAATCCAGAATGTATGACATTTTTGTTTTTTTAATTGCATTACAGAAAATAAAGAACTTTATCACAATATTCTAATTTTCTGAGACAGTCCTGTATATATATACACATACACATTTATGTAAGACTACTCAGTAAACAATAGGATGAGCAATAGGCTTGGATTAAATGTTATTAAAGTTTAACAAATATTTCAATAAAAATGAATTAGATATATTTGTGTAAAAATAAAATAAAGTTATTCCAAATAGAATTAATGCTAAAGTGATCTCATGTTAGACACACATGAGATCACTTTAGCATTAATTAACTGCACACTGTTGGATGACTTTACAGCCTCAACCTTAATGAACATTTGCTCCTTGTATGTCTTGACATACAACTTGACAGGCCAATCAACACACACAAACCCTCACACATCAAGTGCCTAACTGTGGAAGTAATATGGGCTTGGCTACATCTTGAGATTAGTGAACCTCAAAACGGTACGCTATTAGCCTTGCACCGTGACGGCGGTTCGAGAAACAAAGTTGGTGATTGACACCTGTCTTGGGCTACGCTCAAGATTATCTAACAATTCCGATTCATTAGAATAAAGATACAAATTGAAATAGGCACTTCCCTGGTTCATACACACCAGCTGCTCACGCCTCTTCCCACCCGATTGAACCAACCGGGCTCCATTCCTTAAATCACGTCATTACAGGCGCATGGCGTGGCGCAATCCATCCCTCAACAAAATCACGGTTGAATACCAGTTCTGGCTCCAAAGACTGCAGCTGTAGGGCCCTGCTTGTTCCTGAGCAGTCGACTTCCCAACTGTAGGATGGTGTTGTGGCACCACGGCCACCTTACATTAATAGACAAACCTTGATATCTGTGTGAACAGCGGAGCACATCAGGTAAGGAGCTTTTATTTTAAACCTTCACTCCTGCATTACATTGACAACACCTTTGACAAGCAACAGGGCGAAATTGTAGGAAATGTGTCACCTTTTATACCTGGTTTGTATTGTTTTTGTTTGTTTGTAGCCTTTATTTAACCAGGTGAAAATCCCATTGAGATCAACGATCTCTTTTTCAAGGGAGACCTGCAATTTGTTGAAGTCTTTCATGAAATGTGCCTGAGATACATGGGTTGATAGATACTTGACAAAATACAGTCGTGGCGTAATGTTAACATAATGCTGTTAAAAGGACTTTGCTTAGCTATAATATTGCTTGTAACTGGTACCATTAATGTATTATACAATGTTAACTGTATAGGTACCAACAGCAACAGTATGTGTATATATAGCCAATTTTTCAGGATTATTGAGCTACAGTAATGGGTTATAAAATAATGACCAGGCACACTCTTGTCAAGATTATGTGTTCATACATTTTAATACTTTATCCACTATATTTAAAAAATGTTAAGGACTTAGCTGAAACTGGTTAAAGACAACCATAAGATAAGTAAAGAGTTCCTGAAGTTTGAGAAAGTTTTGGTCGAGAAGCCTTTTAGACTTCCTTGTAATGATGTCCTACCTGTTGTCTTTTTTCAAATGGGAAATATTTTTATTTTAGAGTATTGCTCAAACATGAGAGCCAGGGTAGGCCTATATCTGCTACATCTGATTGCTTAGTAAGATTATAAATCAAAAATGAATGTCTGGATAAAGAGTCAGACACTTCACAAGTTAAAATAACTAGTTTGGTGAGGAGCAACACCTTTAACTATTCTTAGGAGAACCTGTTAGGCCGGTGTGTGATGGCTGATGGAAGAAAGAATGGCTTCTTAACAGGTACGACAGCTTAAATGAGAATGGGTGTGTTTGAACTTGCAAATGTTTTTAGTTTGGATCTTAAATGTTATCTGTGTCGCTATTTTGCATTTTGTTTTATCAAGCCATCTATGGTAAACACATTCCAATGGCTGTGAATTAGATATGTTTTGTTGTTTCCTCTTCATCAATGTGTTTTTAGAAGAGGAAAGATAACCAGCCAGAAAAACATTTTGACATGTGTATTTACAGCCCAACCATGAGGGACAGACTGAGCAACCTGCAGGAAATGTCCAGCGAACCTGTGGAGCAGATGGAGTATGCCGAGTCCACTGTCTCCGAGGCCTTCAGTACCGTGGACCTGGAGGAGGAGTTGACACATGAGGCCGTGGTGTTTGACAACAGCCCGGCTCTGGATGAGGTTTTTTCCAGTTCGCAGGACATCCACAGAGAGGTCCAGCTCATCCGACTGGATATCAAAAGGCTTCGCGAGCATAACTCCCGCATGGTTGGTGGTGTCACCACCATGAGCACTATCAAAAGGAACTCCAACGCTATTGGTGCTGACATAAAATCTCGAGCTGAGGAGGTGCTGGCACGCCTGCAGGTCATGGACGGCAAGGCAAAAAAGCTTGAAGAAGAATTTGGCTCAAATTCCGCCGTAACACGAATTGCGAGAACCCAGTATGCTAGCCTCAGCAATGGTTTCCGCGACACCATGTTTGACTATAATGAGGCTGAGATGAGCCATCGAGAAAACTGTAAAGCCCAGATCCAGAGGCAAATGGAGATAGTGGGACGCGAGGTGACAGGAGAGGAAGTGGAGGAGATGATCGAGAAAGGTCAGTTACACATCTTTAATGACAACATTATGGCTGAAGGTAAAACGGCTCGATCAGCTCTGTCCCAGATTGAGAAACGCCACCAAGAGTTGATTGATCTGGAGTCACGTATCCAAGGCATCCATGAGATTTTCCTGGACATTGCCATGCTGGTTGAGGAGCAGGGCCCCATGCTGAATGCCATCCAAACCAATGTGCAGAAGACCGATGAAAGCATACAGGAGGCACTCGTTAAACTCGGCAGGGCCCAACGTCACGACAAAAACAATCCCTTTAAAAAGATGTTTTGCAGCTGTTTCCCCTGTGTCGACTAATGACTACAGTACAGTACAAACATGGGTAGAGTGATTTCGAAATTACAATGCTGTCTAGACAAGCAAAAGTGGGGAATTTTAAGAACATTTTCTGTATGTTTCAATTGTACAAACTTCAATATTGATAAAGGTTAAAACTATTGTGTCTAGATTTAATGACAAGGGTAAAATAACCTAACCTAACCTTCGACCTCTAATGTTTTTATGAAATGTTTGAGACAGGTATCTCAAATCCAAATTCATTCCCCTATGATGCAGGTGTCATGCAGACCTCGAGCAAATTGTATTTGAAAATGTTGTTTATGTTTTGAATGTCTGCTGAGTTTCCACATGTGAGGGATTTATCATAATGCAATGACTGCAACACATAAATTCATTTATGCAATTGTTTCTGAGATTATATTGTATAGTGTCTTATGAAGCCTTTTAGGTCATTAAATGTGTCACTTCATCTCAATTCACTGGTAAAAATTGCTATTCTTGATTTACGGCTGAAATAAATTTGACTTGATTTTTGATTAAATTGTTAATATATTCTGCATTCTTTTCTATATATAAATCATAATATTGGGTCAAAAGAAATCAGCCTTTTTGTGATTACCATTTAGCATTACACTCCTCCCCATCTCCCATTATTGTCTTATCTTTACTGTTTCTTTTAAACACCAGTAGGCTACACACTACATTACAGCAGCCTTATGTATTGTAAGTCGCAATGTTATGTACCTGGATCTTTTACTTTACACAGCTATTTTATGATTGTATGTATGATAATACCTTTCTTCTGTGGTGTCATATATTACATAAATAGTTATATTAAAAGTTGGTGTGAGTTTGGCTTTATTCTTGTTCAAACATGAAATTAACCTGTGTGCTTAAGTATAAACATCTGAATGTTCTCTAAACCTTTTAGTAAAAGTACTTATATAATTATGTTATATGTATTATGTTATTCAAATATGATCACTAATACTTTTTTTGCATTTAATGTTACGTTGGAGCACATTTTAACTCCATATCTTATGTACTGTTGGACAGTTTAATTTTAAAGTATAATAATATAATAATTCATCAAATGTTTTGTTTGTATAATCTTAGCCTGTAAAGTACTGTAAATAGTAATAGATTTCCCTGAGTTTTAGTAGTAGAAGTATAAACATTTAAATACTGTATGTAAAGTTAAAGTACTTAAAAATTGCATGTAAGTTCAGTACTTGAGTAAATGTAGTTAGTTTCCACTACTGCAATTATAAACCCTAGCATGTACAAGGTTCAGGAAATAGGCCTGAGCCTTTTGAAACACACACACACACACACACACACACACACACAGGTATCCTTTACAAACTTATGGCAGCTAGCATTGCATTAGCCCAGTGGTGCACTATCATATATTTAGGTATAGCTTCAGACATCCAAAAAAAAAATTCTATGAACACACTGAATGTTAGTGAATCCCTTCGCTTCCTGAAGTGAACAGTCAATTAACCAAATAGAAAAATGCGTCTTCCTTCAAGGAAGGATTGAGTGTTGCAGTAGGAGTGCCCATGTTGGTCACCTGAGGAGGGGCGTCAGTCACAGACATGCTTAACACAAAGCGACCAGACAACTTCCTTTCTCAGAATAAAAGATGCATTGCCCAGGCACCTTGGAACAAATTAATCAGCAAAATACACTTTGAAGGAAATTACTTGCTTCCTGTTTTTGTGGGAGCCACTCACAAGAGGTAAGAAAGTTTGAATTGACAGCATTTTGGGGGGTTTTATGTGTAGCAAAGCATCTGGAGACCAGTAGATTAACTGGACATACAGAAAGATGGGATTAATTTAATAGACATAAAGAAGACAATATATAATAAACATTTTCACACATTGTGACAAATGTGATTTTCTTCAATTGTTTTACTATTGTGACATGGGGAAATTGATCTTATTCAGTCTATTGACAGAATGAGACTACGAAAGAATACAAGACAGAAGCAAGACCCACCATTTTGAAAGGTTTTGCAACATGCAGTTTACAAACAGTTTTTACTGAGATACTTCTAAAACATATATCGTCTAACAATATTTTCTGTCTAACCCCACTTTCAATGGAAATATCTGCTTTTCAACAAGACAGTGCCTTCCTTGTTCCTGGTTTTAAAAAGTGCTTTGAGCTGTCACTGCTGTCATTGTTGTAAGTTGTTAAAGTAGAAAATACTGCAGAGAAACTGACCCATTATTGTTGGAGTAGTTATATATATAACCCTAACAGGTTAGCTCTGTATGTGGTTTAGTTTCCTTGGGTAAATTAAATATGAACCTATTCATGTTGTCATCAGGGTACTCAATGTTAAATATTTTCTTTAATGTTCACATTGTATGAATCGAAGTTTATACCAATACGAGTATGCTGAAGTATGTCGAACCTGAAACTTTTTTTCAGTACACAGTATTACTATCCACATATTCCCTAAATAAATACAAAAAAATTCAAAATAAAGAAAAACTCAAATTACAAACGCCAAGAAATAAGATAGACAATACCAACAAATGCAGTCAAAGCCACATTTTGAACTGAGTTGACAGGAAATATAGACATTTATAAATGTTTAACCATGTGATCGATAATTAGACCTATGATTAGAAATCTTATCTATGGAATTGTATTTTCAACACAAAGTACACCAGAACCAAAGCGAGACTCTTGATAGACACTTCAGATAAAAAAAATGTAATGTAATGTAGACTTGAAATTATCAACATATGTTTTTGCATGGGTCTCTCAGGCAGGATGCTGGACATGCTGGAGAGGCTGCAGACCATCAGTGAGGGGCAGGAGGACGACGAGTCAGACTGCTACGAACCTGAGTACGATGTAGACAAGGTGACTCTGTCTCAAGAGGCAGTGGTGTTTGAGAACTCCTCTGACATTGACAACATCCTGGGGGAGGCCCACTCAATAAGAAAGGATATCTCCCTGCTCCAATTGGAGATACAGCGTCTGAGCACCCACAATGAACGCTTTGGCACCACTGTGCGGCGTCTCACCTTGCTCAAAAAGGACTCTGACTCCATCGCTAGGGGGATCCAGCAACGTGGGGAGGGCCTGTATGTCTGCCTTCAGGCTCTAGATAAGAAGAGCAGACGGCTGGAGGAGAAAAAGGGTCCAAATGCTGCTGTGAGCCGCATTTCCCGAGCTCAGTATGACACACTGACCCGTGCCTTCCATGATGCCATGAGTGATTACAATAAGGCGGAAGAGATGCAGAGGTACACATGTCGGGGGAGGATTCAGAGGGAGGCCTCTATAATGGGGACTGAAATCACTGATGACCAGCTGGATTTGATGGTGGACAAAGGTGGTGAGGGATGGGCTGAGCTGTCCCAGAGCCTGGAGATCCAAAGTGCACGCTCGTCCCGCTCGGCGATGTCTGACATCAAAGGCCGACACAAGGAGCTGGTGGAGCTGGAGGTCCGGCTGAAGGAGGTCCATTCACTGTTCCTGCAAATGGCCATGCTGGTGGAGGAGCAGGGGTCCATGGTTAATAACATTGAGGCAAATGTGTGTTGCACTCAGGAATACGTTAACAAAATCAACGTTAACATGAAGACGGCCCTAAAGTACAAGAAGAAGAATCCTTTTCAGCAATGTTGTCCCTGTCTACCTTGTTGGGGACACAACTAAACTCTTTAGGGCTTATTTTTACTTTATGTCATTATATTAATTACTTAAAAGTTGAATAAACATTTACCTGTGTAAAAGGTTATGGACAGTTGAAAAAGAATGTTTGTACATTTTAAAAGGATGTTATTTGAATTGAAATGTTTAAGCTTACGGACGCAAAATAAATAATGTTATAGTAAATCAAAAGTTTGTTGTCTTTGGAAGAAGATCAACAGTAAGTTGGTTACGGGGATAAAAAGTACAATTGTTTTGATGTTGAAGAATTGGGTTCATGAGAGCTCGTGGTATTAAGGATAGAGAGCAATAAAATGTGTCTAAAACAGACATTAAATAAAGACGAATGAGAAAAGTTGAAATACTAAAAAGGATGAGAGATGTTTCATATTGCTGACAAAAACGCAAGTTTGGCACGAATGATAATTTGACGTGGTTGGTCGTGAGAGACAGCATGGGGAAAACCAGGTATGCACAAATACTTTAAATACAGTGAGTTCACATGCAGATTGTAAACACCGGAAATGGCCCTATATAGTAAAGCAAAGAGAAAATAAAACCATGTGGCTCTCCCAAATTATCCATAAGTCTATCTGTTGACATTTTTGATTTCAGAAAAGATGTGACTTATATTTGAGCCCATGACATAACTGAATCTATTTTCTGATTTTAAAATTGTATTGATAGTTTTTAATTACATTATATGTCAAACTGTAAGCTCCTAAAAGAAGGTAAATTATGCAGTCACATTTGTGTGTTTAGGGGTGAATCAGTCCACTCATGTACTTGGCCTTTTTCTTAGTGGAATAACCGGCAAATCTTACATTGTCCAATTTAATTTGCTTGGGGCAAAACGCCACTGGGCTCTTGTTTGCGGGTCATTCTACAGAAAGGGTGGAAGTACTGTCACTTACTTTTGCAGACACCAAAATACATGACGTTGACCTAATACTCACATTCATTATATATGTTGAATAAATAGAGATTGTCTTTGCAATGGTACTAAATAAAAAATAAACAAATTGCAATTTATTTAAAATGCCAAGTTCAAGGAACTGCCTTGTCACTTTGATCATACATGGAAGTGGAGCCTATAGTTTTGATTATACTTCTTTTTTTTCCATAAATAAATCTAATTTATATTTACATAACATTACATACATTAAATATAACACTGAAATGGTAAAAAAAACGCGAATTATTATCAATAATATCAAATAAATGTCAGTCACCCAAAATTACGTCATTGGTGTTACTGCTACACAAAACGCTTTTATTTTTGAAATAATGTACTGTCTCATAAGTGCCTCCTGTAAGAAGAGATCATTTGAGGCAGTGCAGTGGACAAAGACATAAGGAAAGTCAGATACTTCTTACTTTGTTTGTTAAAGATGTAATTTTATCTTCAAATTTTACGTGCGTCTTTCAAGTCTGTCATTAGTGTTACTAATTTCATAGCCCTAGGGGTGAACATTTGAATGGGAAAATGTATTGTATTGAAGAGTTAAACAATTTTGATATTGACTGAAGCCATATTTGGTCTGACACATTGCAGCCATTTTGTTAAAATGGTAGTGTTTTCTCCAAATTGTCACTGGTGTTACCGTCACTGGTGTTAGTCTTCTTCCTGGTAACACGTAACACCAGTGACATTCCTATACAAATAAGCTTTGTATAATGTATAAAAATAATAAAAATACTTTAAGCTCTACTTGTTGTGGATTCATCAAGTTAAGAGTTAGTTATTGCTATTCAACTGGTTTTAGATGTGTTTAGAAGGAATATATTTCAGCAGATTTGTATCACCCAGATTCCACCTTTTCTGTAGAATGACTTCTTCTAGGTGCTCTGTACTATGTTCAATAATAGGCCCAGATTAATTTGATAACAACAAATATGAAACATAATAATAGTTATGGCTATCAGCTGAGATAATAAAGGTTCTAAAGTTGGATGTTGTAAAAGCATGCTTAATTGTTTTTTTGTATCATTCTGACTCACTGAAACGGTTTTAGTAGAACCCAGTTAAAGAGTTGTGTCTTATTTGAAGTCATAATGCCGTCAAACTATGTGCAATATACTTTATGTGCAATATATATTTTATATACATATGCCATCTTTAATAACTGTAATATATACCGGGCTGCTAAATCCTAAAAACTGCTACAGGATTTGATTTGTAGATTTGATTTGTTTTTGATCTGTATTTTTGAAAATTATGTAACTTTTTTAGTTTTTTATCTTTTTTTAGCATATTGTTTATTGTTTATTATATTATAACTTAGTACTTTTTTAGCATATTGTTTTGTTGTTTGTTTATTATATTGTAACTTAATACTTTAACGCATTTCAGATATGCAACACTAAGCTGTCTGTGGCTCTTTCCTGCTGTCCCGCTGCAAATTTCCCCTCTGTGGGACTAATAAAGGTATTCTGATTCTGATTCTGATTCTGATTCTGATAATATCTGGTATTGGTCACATGGAAGCTACTGAAAAAAGATCTTCTGTTAAAATATGTTTGCATAATTTCCACTAATGAGCATGGAGGTATTTAAAGCAACATTGGTTCCCTAAGTGAAACCCGGGTTAATAGGAGGAAGACGTTTCTGGATCAAAAGTGAAACACAACAGTAGGAAAGAAGTGGATCAGGAGTAATTGACTACGTGGCCTATAGGCTAGCACTGTTTGGTTGTTTATTTCACTTCGACATAATTGTACTTAGTGGATTCAGTCGTAACACGCAAAGAATATAGTTATTAAAGTTGTCAGATAAGTGTAGTTGAGTAAAAAGTATAATATTTGTCTCTTAAATTGCAGCGGAGAGGAAAGGATCGAGTCTGAGTATAGTGAGTATTATTACGAGTTATTAGCTTGAGTTGGTGACTTGAAACCTTTTCTAAGTTAGTCTCTTACTGGGAGGACAAACGGCAAAATAATGCTTTGCTTGTAAGGCTGCGTTCGAATTATTTTTATAAATCAGTGTTTCAACATATGACATGAACACGTACTCCAGTAGACCTATTCCATTCCTAAAGTTAGCACTACAGCTAGCTGCTAACACTGCGCTAGCATAATGGCTAGCAACTATGGCTATCCCCGTGACGCATTGTTCATATGTGAGTATTGTTATAATGGTGTTCATTGCTAGCGCGTCGATTCTGAGGATGAAACACAACAATCATACAATGTGGATGTCTATTTCTCTTCTTCTTGGTGTTTTTCAAGTAGAAAAGTGTCAGAACGCGGTGTAGACACCAGGATGGCCGAGTGGTTAAGGCGTTGGACTTAAGATCCAATGGACATATGTCCGCGTGGGTTCGAACCCCACTCCTGGTAGATGTTTTGTTGTTGTTTCTGCCAATTACCTAAAAACAAGAACAGTGTCTCCGAAAAAGAGCATTCATAATAGAATACAGAAGTAAGCGGCTTATACTAATAAAGCCAGAAATCTAGGTGTAGTGATGTACTCAGACCTGAATTTCAACAGCCAAATTACAAGTCATTAGTTCTGCTTATTATCACCTGAAGAATATATTGAGGATTAAAAAANTGCTGGTGTTGGTCCACTGTGTTTCATCAAGCCCAGAGTAAATGCAGCTGGAGCTTTTCAGCAGACGGAAGCATGTAGTGCTCTAAAATCTCTTGGTACACAGCTGCATTTACTCTGGGCTTGATGAAACACAGTGGACCAACACCAGCAGCTGACATGGCTCCCCAAACCATCGCTGACTGTGGGAACTTCACACTGGATTTCAAGCAACTTGGATTTTGCTCCTCTCCAGCCTTTCTCCAGACTCTGGCGCCTTGACTTCCAAATGAAAATACAAAACTTGCTTTCGTCTGAAAAGAGGACTTTGGACCACTGTGCAACTGTCCAGTGCTTCTTTTCCTTAGCCCAAGTCAGACGCCTCTTCCGTTGTCTTGAGTTCAGAAGTGGCTTGACCATGGGAATACGGCTATTGTAGCCCATTTCCCGGACACGTCTGTGAACAGTGACTTTTGATACCTGGACTCCAGCTTCAGTCCACTGTCTTTGAAGCTCCCCCAAATTCTGGAAGCGACTCTTCTTCACAATGCTGTTAAGGCTGCGGTCATCTCTCTTGGTTGTGCAGCGTTTCCTGCCACATTTCCCCCTTCCAACAGACTTTTTGTGGATGTGCTTTGAAACTGCACTCTGTGAACAGCTTGCTCTTTGAGAAATTTCTTTTTGTGTCTTACCCTCCTGATGGAGGGTGTCAATGACGGTCCTCTGGACAGCAGTCAGATCAGCAGTCTTCCCCATACTTGTGATTTAGTTTACTGAACCAAGCTGAGTGTTTTTCAAGGCTCAGGAAACCCTTGCAGGTGTTTCGAGTTAATTAGACGATTCAAGTGATTCGTTGAACACCCTACTAGTATACTTTTTCATGATATTCTAATATTTAGAGATAGGATATTTGAGTTTTCTTAAGCTGTATGCCATAATCAGCAATATTAAAATAATAAAAGGCTTGCAATATTTCAGTTGATTTGTAATGAATCCAGAATGTATGACATTTTTGTTTTTTTAATTGCATTACAGAAAATAAAGAACTTTATCACAATATTCTAATTTTCTGAGACAGTCCTGTATATAACATAGTCTATAAATCATGGATGTATAATGGACCTGACTTCGCCTCTCTCTTGTAAATATCATATAGCACGTGAACGCTCACGCTCGTAACCGAGACCACATCCCTTCTTCTGAGGATGCTGCTTTCAAGTGTTCCTCGGAAATTTGATAGCTCTATTAATGGCAAAATACAGACCTTACACCAAAACATTCTGATCGATAACTTTAATAATAACGTTTCGACGGGGAAGACAAATACTTCTTAAGTTATGAGGTTTACTTTTAAATGATTACATTGTAGAAGTTTTGAGAAAATAGAGACGAACACTTCCTATATTTGACTAAACAACGTGCGTGTTGTTTATTAAAAGTAAAGAGCAAAAAAAAAGAGCTCCCAACATTCTGTTTACATCTCTTCACGCTGACACTGTCCAACTGTTGCTGTGTTGGTGTAAAGTGAATACCATGAACAAACACGAAATCCTTAAAATGGTGCTGAATATTCAGTCATAATGAGTGCGTCACGTTTTTGTGCTTTTTTCAAAAAGTGTGGGTTGTTCAAGCATGTCGAATATCAAAACTCCCACTCTCCCTGGAGACGACGTGTCTCCATCAGGACCCCGTTGCAGACTTTTTTTGTTCCTCCCATAGGTTGAATCCCTTGCTGACCACCGCAAGACACACACAGAGCAAACTTTAAACGACACGGGGAAAAAATACTTGAAGAAATAGCCATGAAGTTGTCTATGATTCGTAGTGCGTGTGGCAGCCTTCGGATACACCCAGCCCGTTCAGGAAGCAGGGTGAGCGGCTTTACGCGGAGATGCCCCCCGGTTGGTCCTGCTAACAGCCGGATGATCCTCCGGACCGCAAGCGCTACCAGCAGCGGGGGAACCAACCCGAGACTATCCGTCAACTTTGAGAAACTGTCCCAAAATGAGGATGGGTTTGAATGCGACAGTTCCTTGAGGTGAGGAAGTAGTGTTTACATTAGAATAAGGGTCCACAAATAACTGTATTAATGTTATATTTGTTAACCTAAAATAAGTAATGTAGGTGTTTTTCCTAAGTGATGTACTTCCGGTCCGCCGGCGTGTGATGCTCATGGTTAGCAGTCAGTTCATCACGTGCGATGTCAGATATCAGAGAGACTCCAAAAAGCTGATGTAACTTTTCTTTGTTGTTGCCAAAAACACACGAGGCCAAAATGTGAGTGTATTTATAAGCAGTAAACCTCACTACCTTTCCATGGGTTAAAAAATAGGTCGAGCTGAATACTTTTACTGTTACATTTGATTTACAACATCACCACTGCTTGTTTGCATAGTTTTTCATGCAAGTTGTATCGTACTTGATGGTGACAAAATATGTATTTTACAACTACATGATATCGTATTTAACAGTACATTCATTGATACGACTAGGGCGATGTTGACGTTTTGACAACATGTAGGTCAGTGGGTTAACTGTTCACTATAACACACACCATATCACGTGTAGTAAGGCGGCCAATGGATGCAACTTCCACCTAAGGGTTTTTTGATTCTATTATTTTATTATTTGACATATTTCAATATTTCCTTTGTTTTGTTCTTAGTAGATGTTGTATTCCTTCAACAGTAGCTAATATAGCCAAGCCACACTCTTTCCAATGTTTTTTATTTGAGTTACTGTTTATATTTGTAAATATCAAACTATTTTTGTCCACTTGAGCTCAGTGTTGTTGGTAAATTCAAAACTTTGGATCCAGGCAAGTTTAAAGGAGTTTCACTAGGAGGATAATTGTTTCATTTGAATAGGGTAAGTGAGAGCTATGAGGAATAATTTAGTGTTTCATTATTCCTACCAGTTAGCCAACAAGCAGAAAAGTTAGAAACAATACACTTTTTTGTTTAGGATAACCTTTCCCCAAATGTTGAACAGAAAAATGTCTTTGACCTAATGTTTGTGATTTAATTAATCTTACAATCCTGTGTGTAGCCTTAATGGATTAATGCAGATTGCTAAATTAATTTTCTTTCACAGGGAAGTGGTTCAGAGCACCAAGGAGGCAATGTTGGCCCTGCAGAGAAGAAACCCAGGAATTCAACCCCTTTTAGCCATTATACAGGTATTGTAACAACAAAAAATAATATATATAATTTGTATTTGCCAATGTAGAACGAAAGACTGCGTAAGGACATATACAAGTTATAATTTTGTGGAAGGTTGCCTTGAAATATGATCTAGTCTAAAGCCGATTGGCTTTGGAGTTTTGTTGGGTGAGTGTTAGCGCTGTCTTAATTGACCGTTGACCTAAAGTTGGCCTCTTTTTACTGAAGCCATTGAAGATGCCTGTGTTATCAGGTCTGTGTGTGTTTTTCTCAGTGTGCTCTTTTCATTTCAAAGGCAGGTGAAGTTGACAGCTTGTTGGAAATCAATAAGAAAATGGCAGTAAGGGTAAAGTCCTCTCTTGCTGTTACTCTTAAGGAATTTTAAGAACTTTGTCTTTTAAACAAATCAACATTATAATAATAATAATTCAAGTGTTCACCCTTTCCTTGTCTCTTTGCCCGCAGATTGGACTAAACATCACCCAGATTTGCCTGGCAAAGGAGTGCAGTGAAGATGATGTAAGTGAAGCTGACTCAGGCATTTGGTTAATTTCCCTACATGCCTAAAACTAGAAAAACTCTTCCTAACCCCTTATTTTCAGCAAGTCAGTGCTTGATTTAGCATCTCCTGGATGTTTGTCTGTGTAGCATGTGATCATGGTGGTTGTGTGAAGCGCATCAAGGTAATCGGTGCCTAACATAAGCTTTGATGCAACTCTGTTGAAAGACTAATCCCTGATTTCCTTATATACTTTGTCACTCTTTGGGGTTCAGTTTTCACTTCTTCTTTCACTTCATAGTATTTTCAGCATCTAAGTTTTACTCTTTTTAACCAGGTTTTAGTCAATGCATGAGGCATAGAGAAAGGATAAACCTCTGTGAATAGCTTGGAGGTTTCAGCTGAGAGAGAATTGATTTAAATTACAATCCCTGGCCCAAAGGGCTCTACTGATCCTATGCTCCACTTTCACATATCTTTCCTCTGTTTAAAAAATCTTCCCCTCTGTCACACTATTACTCCCTCGGAGATCACTGTGTATGCTCAGTCAAAAGCACTGGCCTTACATTTGATGTTGAGTTTAATGATTCGCCTCGTCGCATGTTTTGAATCACTTCTTTATTCAAATAAAATGTGTTATATTAAGATCTTTAGGTTTCAAAAACTTGACCTTGAGGTGTGAAGGCCTTTTTTAAACCCTAGAGACAGTAGTCATACCGTTACTGTTGCAAATGTGACTTGTTTCACATCCTCTGTTATGTGTATTTTGTCTTTGTGTGAATGCGTGTAGATTGTTGAGGAGGTTTTGAAGCTGAATGAAGACCCCAGGGTGCACGGAGTCTACCTCCACCTCCCCCCTGCTTCCCTCACCACTCGAGTGTTGAACACACTCAAACCTGAGAAGGACGTAGACGGGTAAAAACGGCACTAACCAAATGGGATCATTGAATTTAAAACTGCAGTTTTTTTTTCTGTCCCAAAGAGAGACATAACAGTGAAGAGCATATATTTGATAAATGGCGCATGCTGTTAAACGGTACTTAACTTAGATGACTTATGATTGTTTGTATTCCCTTTAAAAATGGCCTGACATGTTATTTCATGTCTGCATTGGACATTTCATGTCGTAGTCAGCCAGGTATCAGCTTTGCAGATTTCTATGTCCCATCAGAGACAAATGCATTTACTCACATGGTACACTAAATCAGAAAGGGCTGCACAGAATTAAGACTCGCTAAATCTAAATGCAAAATGTGTGACTTCAACAGCCAAGCGGTTAAGAAAATGTGCAACGCACCCTTTTTCATTATCACAAATGAAAGAGAACTTGTTCAACCAAGGTCTAATTATGAAAAGCTTGTCCGTAAAGTAAGTGAGGTTGTCCTATGAGAAACTCATGTGATATTTTACTTTACCCGGGAAGTTACTTTGTTTAATATTTGACTCTCCAGTGTTTTATTGATTTCTAATGAACTGACATGTGCATCAGCTGTATCACATTTTTCTGAATGTAGGTCAAAATATCATCCATATCACTTGACAAAAAAAGTGACTCCAGAGAAAAGAATGATGTATTTATTTAGATATTATATTTATATCAATTTTTTTTCTTATAGGATATCCGATTTAAACATTGGTCGTCTGGTGCGAGGAGACCTGAGCAAAGGCTTTGTGCCGCCCATAGCCAGCGCTGTGCTGGATCTGCTGGAGAAACATGGTAAATACATTTCCTTCTACAGGGACTCTATTCAGAGTCGTCAATGCATGCAAAATGCAGGTGTAGTTAATCAAAGTAAAGAGAGTGTAAGTTTGAGTGCTGTTACCGTAGCTTACCTTGTCCCTTGTTACGGCAGGAAAAGTATAGGTTTTTTCAAATAACACTATCAATGACTCTATTTTATTTAAATGTTCTAGTAAGAGTAACACTGTAGCTAGCATGCCTGAATTTAAAACAGCTTCCCACGTGAAAATGTCTCAACTTCAGGAAGAAAATTAAGCTCAAATACCCACTGTTATTACAATGCATTTTGAGGAACTATATGGGCATCTTAAACTTCAGTACAATAACATTTTTACTATTCGGACACAATAAAAAATGCTGACTGATCAGAATAACTGCTGAGTTTGGGACTAATTTAAGATTCACCCTGGGGTTCAAAGGGTACGGGTCAAAGTTCAGGGGTCACTGTTATTCTAAGAGTCCATGACACAAAAAGTAGAGATTTACTGACATGTGAAAAAGTGTTGCAACACAGATGTATTGAAAGTAAAGAATTGTGTCTTTGTTTGTCTGCATCTGGCTGTAATACTTCTAGATCAGGGGTCGGCAACCCCTGGCACGCGTGCCAGCATTGGCACGCGGCACCGTAACCAGTGGCACACTAGGAATAAGTGGAATAAGTGTGCAAAATATTTAAATTTTATTTTTGGATCCTGACCGAGACCGCCGCCAGAGCGTCTCCTCGTTACCTGCAGAAGGAAGCCATGCACGCAACGCAGCCCCGCTCTCTTTATCTCCAGGTGACTTTCTGCCGCTTTCCTCCGTGGTGCAGTGCTGATCGTTTCACCACGGAGGAATGCACTTCACTAATTGCAGTACCCATAAGGAGCTGTACAAATGCTGCAGTTTTTGCGTGGCTGTGTCTTTAGTTGAAAGCCCAGTGGCGATCTGTTCATCTTTTCTCGAAATAATATGCTACAAAGGGGCGGACTGGCCATCTGTGTGTTGAACTTTCCTGTCCCCTCCCAGACCGTAGTCGAGGAGGGCAGAAGCAACAAGCTTCAGGTTCAATAACCCACTTTAGCTTAAATGACTGGAGAGAGGCGAGCTCTTCTTGGGAGGCCGTTGCATTTATTTAGCTGTTCTTCTGTTTCACAAAATACATCACAGATCTGTTTTTCTGCTTTCCCGTTTCACTTCCAGAAACATACACGCGTTCCCTCACTGTCGCTCTACCATTCACAAACACACATGCACAAGCCACACCCCTCTCTCTCTCTCTCTTCTTAAAGGGACAGCGATCTCATCTCACTCTGCATGACCCTAATATCATAACATGTGTTCTCTGGAGAATCACAGAACGGACGATCGTCCTTATTATTATGCCGTTTAAACCAATTATTTAAATGTGTTATTCGGCATCATGTAAGTTGCGCTGACAGGTCCACACACTTCTTCCCCGCAGCGAGGCTCCCGCCCCCTCCTGCTGATAGTTGACGAGCGTCAAGCTCCTCACCACCCCCCCGTTGATAATTCTCGATCGTTGGCACGCTGATAACATTTTTTTTTTAAATGGCACTTCATATCAAAAAGGTTACCGACCCCTGGTCTAGATAATGGAAATGTGGACAATGTTGACAGTTTAGTAGCTTATGTGCAGTTACTTAATGATCACAGAAGATTATGACCTAATATTACATTTCTGCAGATGCTTCTTTGGAAATGAAAACTGTGCTGCTGGTTGGCGGAGAAGGACCCCTTGGGGTGTCCCTGCAGTGCCTGATTGAAAGAAGTGGAATGGTAGTTCTCAAGAGTCATTGGAGCTCCAATAACTTACAAAGACAGGTGTGTGTTTATGTGTGTGTTTTTGAGATTCCTTTTTTTTTTAAACACTACATTTTTTATGACTGGAGTTTGAATCACTCATCTCCAGTAGTTTTCGTTGTCCGCTTGATATTTTTTGTTTTCCGTGTGTTCTTTTAATAGTGTTTTACGTGTCATTGGCTTAAAAAAAGCTCTGTTAAGGCATGGCTTGATAAATGAAAAGCCTTCTGATGTTCCATATATGTTTTGTCATTATTCAGTTGCACCAGCTGCCGTCAGTCTCTGCTTTATAAAATGCAATGCTATTAAACGTGATCAGTTATAGATGTAACTGTTTTGCTAGTTGAAAGCCTTTTGTTAATATGATCAGTCACACGTTAGGGTTAACTTGTCTTAAAAGTGATAATGCCTGAACTACGCATAAAATACTCTTCAATTGTCCAAACTCAACAATATTATTTACTTAAACGTTTGCTTTTCTTGCTTGAAGTTTTTTATTTTCTGTAAATGTTTCACTTTCCTCTCTTTTGTTCATCTAAATGCCTTTCCTCTCCATATTTCCTAGGTGATGCAGGCTGATGCTGTGGTTCTGTTCGGAGCAGGGAATATGGAAGTCCCACCCGCCTGGGTTAAACCGGGGGCTGCTCTAATCCGCTGTGAGCCCACCCTAGAGACAGGTATTGTTAACATATTACGATAGTCATGATAATATAGTATGACATTTCATTTAAATATCATCGTAAAAAAATGAAGCTTTGACGTTTTGTAATATTTGATGCAGCCTTACACAACATTACATTACAGTTTTTTCTGTTTTAGATGAACATGCCATCCAGACTGGGATAGGATACCTCACAGCCGCCTACAGAACGGAGGTGCGTCTTTTCGTTTTGGTCTCCTTTCTCTCCCAATCGACCTACTCTATTCTTCTTTAACTTCCTACCTACCCCTCTGTGTCTCCTTTTTGTTTACTAGAATGTGGTGCGTAGTTGCAGTCGGTGGGTGCAGGAGCAGCAGTACCAACCCTGGCATCTACACAGCCTCAAACTGCAGCCCCTGACCCCTGTACCAAGGTATACCGTCTGTGAGGAATGTAACCACATCTATCTGGACAAAGGATCCTTTTCTCGTGTTATACTCTTCGTAGGTCTCTAAGTTGCATCTTAGAGACATACACTAAGCTTACAATATAAATAAATGACATGTAATGCTTCCTTTGTTTGTCAGTGACATAGCGATTTCCAGAGCTCAGACTCCAAAGCCAGTGGACCAGCTGGCTGAGGAGATTGGTTTGCTGCCAGAAGAGCTTGAAGCCTATGGCAGAAGCAAAGCTAAGGTCCGTCTCTCCCTGTTAGACCGCCTCCACAAACAGCCTGATGGGAAATATGTACTGGTTGCTGGGTGTGTGTGACTTATTTTTCATCTAAATTCCTTTCCGTAACTATCATAATTATCATATTTGTTAAGTTTTTCTAATTGTTTAAATGTGTGATTTTAAAATAAGTGAGCCTTGCTTGTTCTCAACAAGGGAACAAAGGCAATCGCTTAATCTATCCCTGCTTTCTTAAACCATTTTCTCATTTATTTGGCTGCAAACTGAATATTTATGATGTTAAACTGTTTTGTAATTTCCTTTTGTCTAGCATCACTCCCACCCCACTGGGCGAAGGTAAAAGCACGGTGACCATCGGCCTAGTCCAGGCCCTGTCTGCCCACCTTCAGCTCAACTCCTTCGCCTGTCTCCGACAACCATCCCAAGGACCCACCTTTGGGGTTAAAGGTCAGCAATTAATACTTCATGGGTCCTTAGGTTAATTGTTAAAAAAATATTCTGGCTGAAAATAATACTTTGTCCTCTCTGTGCTCTTTCCCTTGACCTCATGGAAATACGACACAGTAGTCTCTTATTCTGTAGATAATCATTCCAAAGTTGTTTTGCATGTTTTGGAATGCAATTTCTGTTTTTCTTCCGATTCGAATACATTTAGTGGGATTTGGACAAGGCCACAGACAGGCGCCCAAACCAGCAGCTAAGAATGTCTCCAGCAGTATCACTGTGTGATAGATAAGCTATCTTTGTCAGCGGGAGGCTAGCATTTTGTACAGGGGTACATTTTGTACAGGGGTGGAGTAGTTCACTCAAAGTCCACCACTCAGCATTCCTCCTCTGTGTGTCCCTGTTTGTCAGCCTCTGACTGTGCTACCTCTTCTTTGTGCCTAGGGGGAGCTGCAGGAGGGGGATATGCCCAGGTCATTCCTATGGAGGAGGTAAGACACACAGACACTCTCATTGCTCCCTAGCAGGACTAATGCTGGCTTCAAAGGCCTAAGACATGCAGGGATTCAAACTACTTTACACCCTGGAGCTGTAGCATAATATTGCCTGTGACTAAATCACTGTCTGTGAAGCAGGAAGGGGTGAGAGGAATGGAGTCTGATTTTTAAGCTGCAGCCTGCAAGAAGGTAGCCTCCTTTTCTCATAACAAAACACTGGCTTTTTAAAGATTTATATTTTCTACCACTCCTACTCCTCACTACTTCAATGTTTTGTTTCCATTTAAATCAAGGGGCTGCTGCCAAAATGAGATAACATTTGTCATAATATTTGTAAAGACCTAATGTCTGTATGAAGCAACATTAATCATGTGATACTAATGGTTTGATTTCAGCATCATAACCTCATCCTTGTTTTATCTCAACTTGTCTAAACCAACAATGAGTACTTCTACATTACATCGATAGTGTTTTGATCTCTTGAGTCTAATCCCGTCATCTCTATTCCTCTCTTTTTTTTTGGCTTGTTGTTCCTCTTCTATCCCTTCAGTTCAACCTCCATCTGACTGGTGACATTCATGCCATCACAGCAGCCAACAACCTGGTGGCAGCAGCCATCGATGCCAGGATGCTGCACGAAGCAACGCAGACAGACAAGGTGACCATGTGATGATGTCACCAAGTAAAACTGTTGTTTTGACCTTATTCTGTTATTCTGTGATTTATGAGTGGAAATAATTTCTTATTCTAAAATATTGAGTGTAAATACTACAATATTTGTATCTTGGCATATCAATGAGTAGTCACAGGGAAGCCTCAAACATGTGTTACAGAAACAGTTTACCGATCTAATGATGCGATTGTGTATTTGCTGTGATACCAGTTTTTTCTTCAAGATGCAATTAAATGTACTTTATATGCATATACACACATAAATGTATTTAAAAAAAAATTCTTATACCCCAAGGCCCTCTTCAATAGACTGGTCCCTTCAGTGAATGGAGCCAGAAGATTTTCCCCTATCCAAATCTCCAGGCTGAGGGTGAGTCCAAACACCGCAGTGCCAGAATCACTTGCGTCAACAATCATTAGAAGCCAAAACATTGTTGTTTTAAAAAAAAAACAGTTTTGTCCACTAGGGGTCCTCGGTGAGCTTATCTTAAAAAAACCTCTTTTTGCCACCACATCCTTATCTCCAAGTGTGTGTTAATCTCTGCTGAAGCTCCTTTCTATACGTCTACAAGTATAAGCTGTTTTTGAGCTTTCAATACTAAAATCCTTAAGAAAAAAGGTCGTAGTAGACAAGGTGAATATGACACATGTTATTGAGATAGGAGGGTGAAGCTTGAGCATGGGAATGTTTGTTGTTATGTGAAAGTCTCTGCAATGAGAAGTTAAAAGGACTATAAAATATTCATTGGTCTTAATGGACAGAGTGAGGGATGAAGAGTTGTGTGTGTTTTTAAACATAGCACTCCAAGTGAACCTTTTGAACCTCACAGTAAGATGATTCACTCGTAGTCATTTAGGATTTGTATTAAACATTTTGGGTTGATGCGGTGTCCTGCTGATTATCCTGAAATATCAAATGCATGTCTGTGAAGCCAAGCAGTATCCTCCAATCTTTCTCTCTTTTAATTCCAGCGTCTAGGGATCAATAAAATAGATCCTGCGTCTCTATCACCCGAGGAAATCAGCACCTTTGTTCGTCTTGACCTTGACCCCTCCAAGATCACCTGGCAGAGAGGTATCTAAAGGAACATTCTGAATGTCCTCTCTACATTATCTCTGGTTGCCCTAACAATGACTGAGAACATTAAGTAGGTTGTATCTGTTAAATGTTTACCAGGATTTGTTTTTGCTTCTTAATGTAGTCTCAACTGTTCTTATCACATGGTGGTTTGAGTTGACGATATGATTAACAAAACAAGCAGCTTGCTGTTTCACTAAATGGTGACATTGTATGTTGTTGGCCGTGCACACAGGCAAGAACATTTCGTAATAAAAGGGATGTTTTGATTTGGAGGAAGATGCAGAAGATTAGATTTTAAGACGCATTTCCAGTGAGGGTGAAATGGTCGTGCTAAAACTTAATAAAGAGTAAATAACATCTAAAAGTCCAACTGAAAATAAAAATAATGGCTATGCTTTCTACACAACAACCGGTATGACTATCATGCAAATCTAATTGCCATTTTCTTGACCAACATCTCATGGTCCATAAACGCTTTCTTGAATTAAAATAGATTTTCTTTGCAATAGCACTTTTTAAAATTAATATTCTCCACACTTTGTTGCTATTCTCGTCAATGAAAACTGACAATGATGGCTCTTTATGGCCCTTTTGTTCATATTGATTTCACACATCTAATGTAAAAGCGTCACAGTCATCAGTCACAGGGTAATAAATGTGTAGTGTGTGGCAGGAGTGGGAATAGTTACCTCAGTGGTAGCTGTGTTTGGTTTAAAGTTGTCAGTGAGAGCAGCCAGCCGGGTGCTCCTATGACTGATGTGGTATTTACTCCAGTGGCTCCAGAGGGCACTCTTAAAAGACGAACCCTGAAGATTAAAAACAGATTTACAACCCGTTGTTACACGGGTGTTTCTGTGTGTCTATTCGTTCATGTAACAAACCATGTTTTTTCACTCTCCCTTCCATTACATCAAACCAACATGAGGATTGTGGTTTCCCGGTTCATTATAAAAACATTATAGCCACAAATATCTGACCACACTATCAGACGGTAGGCTTAATGCTGAGCGAAGAAACTTCAAGAAGCAAATCCCAAGCACTTTTAACGTGTCATCACTTACTCACCATTACCAATAAGAATCTGTCTTCTTTAAAGTTATCATGTCTGTGTGTGCAAGACTGTGGATGTGCCTTTGAGTTCATTTAACAACATGTGGGGAAATACATTTTTAGGCTGGTAAAACACACAATTTTAGGGTCTGAGGTCAAGTTGACTACTTTGAGAACTGTCACTGATGTTTTCTTAAACAATGCCGTGGATTTCAGTGACAAATGTTGCACGTAACTAACCTCTCTTTATGTTTTTCATTTTCCAGTTCTTGACACAAATGACCGTTTCTTGAGGAAGATCACAGTTGGACAGGCGAGCACCGAAAAAGGACAGGCCAGGGAGGTATGCGGCATTCATGCCTTCACAATCTTCATTCTTCTGAATACAAGACGCTTTTTGAATTTTTATAGAAAAATACAAGAAGATGCTTATTGTCATTACATGTTGTCAAACAGTGCTGGCAGCCATCCACTCCACTAAATAACATGTATAAATGTCTTTCAAAACCTGAACAAACAGCTTAAAAGTCATACATTCACATAAAGTTATATAATAAATGACCATGCCTAGATATGAAATTGTCATTATTGCACTGAATATTACAGTAATGGGGGCCAAAATACAACGTGTGTTTAATCAACGCCTTTGAGTGATTGTACAGTAAAATGAGGATGAGTGTATAAAGACTTTCCCACACACCCAGACACATCTCGCTCTCATTTGCCCATGATAAAGCCCAGATGTATTTCACCCAGATGTCGGTAGTAATGAAAGCTAAATGAAAAAATCCTGTAAATAAACACTTCACCTCAATGGGAAGCAAGCGGGCTTAAGTGAAAGCAAATGTTTAAAGAAGGAGAAAAGTGACACACACACACACACACACACACACACACACACACACACACACACACACACACACACACACACACACACACACACAGCTGGTCAAGCCTCTGAGCTGGTTCAGCACATGTTTACATTTACTGCCATCAGTTCATCCATTCTGTTTCCCTTTTCATTCCCCTGTCCTCCACCTCCCTCCATCATTGGACACACTATAGTCCCTCAGGGTATTATCAATGGGAGTGGGAGTAGAACTGTTGTGGATTAATGTGGTTTAAGTTATGTTTCCTTTACTTGTGACGAAGAATGGTGACTGCTTTTTCTTCCCTGTGGAAATCCCTCATTTGCTCATTTTACTTGTTTTCTTAGTTTCTTCCTTTTTCTGTTAGTTTGACATTTATCAATACAGAAAGTCCCATCAAAAAGTAGTTAAACATGTTAATGGTGATTTATTTCCCCATGGTTATCACTCCAAAACTAGGCCATGATCATATGACTCGTATTCTCTGGCCCATGTGATAAGGCTGGTCTGTCTAGATTATATCTTGTCTTCTAGCCAAAAGGTTCCCACTTCTGTTTCTTCCTAAAGTGTGATTGTAATATTTGATGGAATCAGGGATGATACATTTAATTCCCTTTCTAAACTATCATTCCTTTCCAAGAAGAAGTCCTGGCCTATTAATATAAAGTCAAATCTATTTAGTCAAAAAGTGTAATCCTCTCAGGATTTCATACAAAACAACATTGCTGCGTTTCCATTTCACGGTGTGAATTCTCTGCAGGCCACAGAACAAATACTTTCATTTGTTTCCCTTGTGCTTTACAATGTGTGTAATGTTTCTGGTTTCCTCACTCTTCCTCAGACTGGGTTTGACATCGCCGTGGCCAGCGAGATCATGGCCATCCTGGCGCTGGCAGACAGCCTGATGGACATGAAAAACCGACTGGCCCGCATGGTGGTGGGGACCAGCCGCTCAGGGCAGCCAATCACCGCAGAGGACCTGGTGGGTGTTACTGTGTGGCCGTGTCATTCAGAGAGAGTGGGGATTTTAATCCTGAAGAACTGACAGGTTTTCCTCATTACATCTCCGAATGTTAAAGTATTGAGTCCGCTGCAATCTCCAGATGGATCTTTCTATGTCTATACTAAGCGGAAAGACGTGTGATGGTTAGGTGTGTGCTACATTCTAGCTCGGGAAACCTGTGGCGTTGGACCCTTATGGGTGTTTCTGGGTGTACAGAATGAGTGAAACATAATTCATCATCGTCATCCTTTTCTGTCAAATATGCAGCTTGTGAATTCCCACTTGTACCAGAAATACCAACGTACCACTTCCCCTCTTCACAACAGCACGTCTAATGTAGGTGTAACCTGCGATTAAGATTTAAAGCACGTTTTTCACACCTCTCACCGGATCCATTTGAGAGGTCAGCTGGTTCTGGTTTCCCCCTGAAGACTGCGGTCTGTGTTGTTTCAGAGCTGTAGAGGAGGATCCTATACAAAGTTACATTAGTGTCCCTAATTAGACTGAAAGCAAAAACATCACCACACCCCAGAGCCAACCCCCGGGGGAATATGACTGTATGCTAAATGTCTGTTAGTTTGTGGAGAGCGCTAAGAAGGTTGGGATAGTAAGCTCATGGGATCATAACCATTCTACAAAAAAATAGTATTATTGTGGTAACATTTTATAACTTGTTCTTGTTTCCAACTTACAATTTCAATATCCTTTCTTCCTCCCTGTCAGGGTGTGAGCGGAGCGCTGGCGGTGTTAATGAAAGATGCCATCAAGCCCACGTTGATGCAGACCCTCGAGGTGAGGCACAAACACAACCCCATTTAAATAGTCGTTGCCCTTCTCTATTGAGCGTCTTCTGCTGAATATCTTGTAGAATGAATAGGCTGGCAGTCCACAGGGAAGTTTGACAGTTTGCAGTACTTCTACTTCTGCTGTCAGAGAAAAGAAAGTGAGGCCTCCACTGAGAGCTTTTAAGGAAAGGGTGATCGATTGCCTCCCATGGCGCTTTATCTTAACAGCAGTTTAGCAATGTGCGGAGGACAGGTGAAGCCCTCAGAGGCCATCCAGATTCATACTGTCCTTAATTTGACTACTTATATCTAACTCCCCTTTATAGCGTCTGGCTTTCATTTAGCGTTTTACCATTAGATAACTGGACATGTGATCACACCGGCACATAAACAATTCATGATGTACACACTAAGACTAAGCTGACCCTTTGCAAGAGAAAAAAGTCCAACCCTTAAGGTGATGGATGGGAAAATGGAGAGGAAGTTTAGTTTAGAGGTTTAAAGGATTGAATGAGCCGATAACAAACCAGACATCTAGAATTAATCTTTGACCTCTCCGGTACAGCAGAAGCCCACTTGAAAGAAGTAACAGAAGATACATTAATTGTGTTAAGAAAAAAAACATGTTTTAGCTGCAAACTAAATTGTATGAGTGTTCTGGGATGGAACACACCGATGCTGTTGTTAACATTGACATTTTTACCACATTTCTTATTTATTGATCTCATATACTTGGATTTAAACAAAATCCAGACAGTTGGAATCAAATAAACTGCATAGAAATGTATTATAAACATATTTGTCATTTAAATTCTCCTAGGAGTATATATAGTTAATCAGAATTATTTATAGTTGATTTGCCATTATTGGTCTCACTGTGTTGGAAATGGTCTTTAGAAACCACTAGTTACCCATTTCCACTTTTAGGGTTTTTGGTAAAGAGGATTTTTTTCAATAGTATAAATTCTCTTCACGGCATTGGTAAGACAAGCCAACAGGTCACCTTTAACACTAAAAAAGAAAAGAAAAAATCCTTATTTGTCCTTGAAATGAGACTTTCTTCTTTTTAAACGTGATGCTGCAGTACTTATCTTCTCATTCTGGTGCCTTGGCAGTGTGTAAGAGTCTTTTCATCTAGACAAAGGCATCTGCTTTATCTTTGATGTTAAAGCTCTCGACTTACAATTTTCTAACTACAGTCTGAGTCACTGAGCTGTGGGCCAAAGGTTTTTCTGAACGAGCCAAGTGTATTTTCCTGTTGGATTGATTTAAGTCATTAAAGTTAACAATGTTAGCAGTCATGCTGTTTGCTAACGGCTTTTGTGTTTTTGTTGCCTGGCTGTTTTCCGTCTGTTTGTTCTGAACAGAAAGCTTGGTAAACTGGCTACTGGGTGGGGTGGATAAACACAGACTGTGTTTTCAGGGGGTGCAGAGGGGGCGGAGTGGTGCATGAAGCAGAGATTTGGTTACTCTATGTTTTTTTGGAGGAAGCATTGCGGTCCTGTTGTGTGAAACCGCTTCCTGTGTGGGTTTCCTGTCATTCTGGTCAGGGAGCTGGTATCGGGACTGTCAGGGCCTCTGAGCTCCGTGAGAATTTTCCATCCAGCTTGACCGCCTGTGCCCTTTTATGCCCTCTTCACTTGTCATTGTTTGTGTTGAATACAGATGCACACATGAGAATAGAGTTGGCATATGGAAGCTGGTGTGTGTTAGAGCACATGTGTTATTTCAGATGGGGTTTAGAGGAAACATAGCACAAGAGAAAAATAGTCTTTTATCTCACTCTTTGCGTACGTGTCTATTAAGCGGACCTCAGTCATCCTTTGCGTTTTTCAAACATCCTGTCTACGTGGCGTGCCGAAACGACCGCATGCATCTTTCCTGGGGAGAAGCAGTAGAGCATATCAGCCAATCAGACATGGGACTGATCTTAGGTCTGCATCCCTGTGCCGTCTGAAAATAAGCTTGGGAACGTTTTGTTAGTGTAGCACTGGGCTGCAGCTGGTGTAGTGGACAGTACAAGAGATGCTCACAAAGAGGAAACCAGGACATGATCTCCATCTTCCTGTGTTTGTTCATTTCCCTAGTCTTTCTAATCCTCTTGTCCATCAGAGGGGACACACTCTGCTTCTCATTGCTTTTCCCTTTCATTACCCTGTAGTGGCTTATTCATTGCCAGATACTATTTCCTTCATGTACTTACGTAGAAAGTCTACTGGGTCAAGTTAAAAGTTCAGGAGTTGCAGACACACATGGAAATCCACGCTATGTATGACGTGTGTTGTCTTTCCATTGGTATAAACAAAGAAATATGTTTTGACAGGATAGGTACAAAAATGTTGCTTTATACTTTTTCTTCTTATGTGAATCATTTATCCGTGTACTCTTTCTTTGTCTTAATGCAGCTGTAATTTCTACTACTACATTACATAGAGGAACAGACAGCGTTTGTCAGAGCCTTGTTAAATGGCTGATTTACTCCTCCGAGGGGAGGCTGTTTATGCAGGCAGTGGGAGAGGTATGCAAACAAAAGCTTAGAAAATCATGCAAGTCCTTCCCATCCTTCCTTTGTCCTCCCTCTCAAGGAATTCACATGCAGTGTAGTGTAGGTCAATTGCCTTTCCCAAGTTTTCTTCTTCACTAGTTTTCTTAGTAATTTCCTTTTTTAAGTCGGTCATGAGTGCAGCGGAAGGATTGTGATGTGGTGCAGTCGACCTTTTCTCTGTATGCGTATTCTTTGTTGCCTTCTCTAAGTTACAGAGTTTGTCCCCTTAAGCATTTCAGCTCAGGTTTGCTTTTGTAAGCTGACAGCGGCTTTGAGCTTTAGCCTGTAGTGGCAGAGTTTCAACTAAGCTAAGAAGAATATACCCTTATTTGCTATTGTAAACAAATATTGAGGTATTTATATGTTTTGTCATGAACGCTCTTGGATAGTTCTCCTTTTTAGACGGTAGTTTTGTTATTATTTTAAACACTTGAATGCAAACGGCTTTAATGGATACAAAATCTTAAATCCAAGGTAACACATTAATGTTGTGAAAACACAACAAACCCAAAGAGATAACTGCACACTCGCAAAACTATGTTGTGAAAATATCATGCCATGAATAACCATCCATCCATTTTGAGAACATTTCTGTGAAGTCTCTAAACCAGCGGTTCCCAACCTGTGGGCCGCGGCCCCCTAGTCATCCGCGAAGGCATTGCAAGTTATTATTTAATTTTTTTGTACAGGCTAAAAACACAAACATGGACATAACAATATATGACATTCCAATCTCAGACAAAAACAGGAGAAATAAAGATGCAGTCAGTAGGATCACTTCAACATTTCACAAACAAAAATAGGTTGACCTCCAAAAACATAGCGAGCATATTTATTGTTCCTTTAATCACACTCTTCGTTAGAGCTAATTATTTCCCATTTCATGGCGTGTTGAGCCACCCTTTGATTTTTTGTGGCAATTGTTTTTTCAAAAAGAAATTGTATTTTTAATCTATTCTTCAAACACCTTAAATTAAGATTACTCCTTGATTGACTTTTAAAAATATGTATTTCAGCCAGAAGAATATTTATTCACTGTGTGCGGTTTTCATCTAAAAGCCAAAATAACATATTAAAGGGTGTAAATGTAAATTCAATATTTGCCGCCAAATCATTTGCAAAACATTATGATTTGTGTGGAAACATTTTCATTATTAATTAATTTTTTTATTTTTTACTTTCCCTTTCTCTTTCTTGATCCTCCTTAGCAACGGCCATTACAGTCCTTGACAGCGGTCTACTGGATTAACAACGTGTCACATGTTCTGATTTGACCAATCAAGACCTTTATTTAGCCTCCGTATTGTTTATGGTTGAATGTGGGTCGCGATAATGTTTTAGATTCTTAAGTGGGCCCTGAGTTGAAAAAGGTTGGGAACCGCTGCTCCAAACCATTTAACTTAATTATTTATATTAAATTCATTATTCAATTTATACTGTATAAATATTGTGGCTATTTTAAATGTATGTTACTTGCATGGGTGGTTTCTGATAGAGAACTGGTATCTAAAGTTTACAGAGAAATGAACATTTAGAATGTGAGGGCTTAAAGTCAGAGTTCTACTTCTAAAAATGTGACCTATTGCATTTATTATCAGAACTTAGTGGGCATATAACATGATCATGAAGTGTATTGCATTTTGCACTGTCTCGCTGAAAGTTACTGTACTAGCCTGAGTGTCTGAAAGAGGCAGTAACCTTTAGTTTGTGTGTGTCCAGTCTTAAGGGAGTAATCCTAAAATCAGCAGGGGAAGGAAGCTTGGCCCACAGTCAGGCTGCCACGCCAGTCGAGCACCTCTTAACTTGTGTTGACTGTTTAGACAAACATGCTGCCAGCCTAAGTGCAACCACACTTCAATAAGCTTCTCAAAGATGTTGAATTTAGAATGAAAGAACTGGAAAGTCCTTATTTAAAGTTTTTAGAGTGAGTTCCTGTTTTCAATGTTTTCTCGACTCCTCCTGCATGTTTTGAGCCCCTCTAATTGTTGCAGGGTACGCCAGTGTTTGTCCATGCTGGGCCCTTTGCCAACATCGCCCATGGCAACTCCTCGGTGCTGGCAGACAAGCTGGCTTTGAAGTTGGTCGGTCGAGACGGCTTTGTGGGTAAGAACTCACCGTTCACGCATACAGATCTCACACACACACACACACACACACACACACACACACACACACACACACACACACACACACACACACACACACACACACACACACACACACACACAAGCTAAAGCAGATGCCCACCCACAAAACCTGTGGGGATGACAGACAACAAGATGTTAACTGTAGAGTCTAGAAGCGCCAGATGTGGAATTTAATGCTTAAGCTTCCCTAGCAGGGTAGCTTAAATTATAATTTACAATTTTCTCCAGTCATGAACTTCCACTTGCTCCCCCGCTGCTGCAACCTTTGGCCTACATTCATTTTAGTTCTGGTTCTGGCTCTGTTCGAACTGACTTAGTGTGCTTCCCTGGTGTCTTGCCACTGCGCAACTTTCTAGGAAACAGTCGGAGAGATTGCGTAAAAAAAACACACCGGAGAGGAAGGAAGCTGATTGATAATCTTAAGAGCCCCTGGAATGCTTTAGAGTAAACCACACTAATCCCTTCAACGTCAAAGCATACTTGAATATTTCCATTTTTATCTGTTTATCTCTCCTGCTGCTCGCTTTCCGTCCTCCTTTACTTTGGCTGCAGAAATATGTGTGGAATTTACACGTGTGTGTGTTTTCCAGTGTGTCAGGTGAATTTGATGGACGTGCAAAGCTCATCAAAGCTTATATTTATGTGTATTTGGGAAAGGTTTTCTGTGTAGGAGCAATAACAGGAAAAAGGAGAAGGGTGATGCACAACATTTACACAGGCTGTCATCTGTGAGCTGGGCAGATGCAGCGTGAGCAGAGTGTTGGGTTTCACAACACTGGAGCTGGTTTTATTCCAGCCACCTCTCCACCCCGCTCGTTCTCCATCTGTTCGTCTCGTTCCCTCCCTTCCCCGTCTGTGTGTTTGTTACCTGACTCTCAGGTATGCCAGGAACTCCACCTCCCTCCTCTTCCTCCCTCTGCAGCTGGGATGCATGTACCCCCCTCCTTCCGCTCAGGCTCTTTCCCTGATGCCTTTTTTAACTGGCAGCACTGAAAATAACACCACAGCAAAGTTAAGAAAATGTATAATTCTCCAAAAAATCTTGAACAACAAGTCAGCCCTTTGTTTTTTACCAAGGTGTTATCTAGTGTTATGATCAAGTGTAAGGTTATAAACTAGATTTATACTCCGATTTAGACAACTAGATAATACAAAACAGATTTATCCTCTCACTTGATGATAAAAGTAGAGAATTTACAGCTTGGGTCCTTATTTCTTAGTAATGGTCTTAGTTTTTATTGGTTTTGAGAACATTGTACAAATTAAAGTAACAGTTAAGATCTTGAAACATGATGACATCCCAACAAAGTCAAACAGGATTTAGCTAGATTAGCTAAATCACTTTTGAGAGGGGCAATGGAAAGCACACTCACATGTTCAGTAGTGATTTATCATTGCACAACAAAGGCTGCTCCATGAACTCCAAATAAAACAAGTATAGTCTGTAAACTGTAGTAGAATTACTACGTTACTTCTTTGTCTGCAGTTTATTTCTTTAGTTAACACTAACTGGTCTCGACAAACTTGTTTCTGGCACAGCAGGCTGCCATTTGTAGAAAAAAGCTCTTTGGAAAAAAAACGTAGCTACTGAGTGACTGCAGAACATAGTCGAAGTTTGTAGGGACCAAAACAGACCTAACAGTAGAGTACACTTGTATTGCTTGACTTATATAAACCACAAAGCCAGAAACATAACCCCAAATCAATGGGGTATGTTGCTCCAATTCTGTTTGACGTGTGAATAAGCAATTGCCATCAAGTTTGCCATATCATCTTTCTTAGGGGATTACATGTCATTTAAATAACCCGATATTACCAATTTAAAACGTTCTCAAATCTTTAAATCCTCAAACCTGATTAAAATAAGGAAGGAAGTACATAAACTCTCTGTGAACCCACTGAGGGTAGTTGGAGTGTGTATCAACATACTCGTGGCCATGCTTCATCACGCTCTGTATTATTGTGTTTTTTTTCCTGTCACTTTGGAATCTGGAATTAAAATGGAGAAATGCTGCCAGGAGAGGGGTCGCTGGTGGAGGAATTTCACTTGCCAGATTTGAAGGATTCCTGCATCATTAACAGTCTGGAGCATTGAACGCAGATAACCCTCTGACACTGACTTACTGTAAAATTTCCCAAACCGCAGAGCCTCCCTAAACCGTGGTGGTTCATGGTCCGTGAGATATGATGATGATGATGATGATGATATGTTCAGCATGTCAAATATTTCAAGCTCTACACCCACATTTTAAAAACCATCTCAACATTACACCATTGCCATTGTTTTAGCTTGTCTTTTAAGATTTTCACTCTGATTAATTTGGTTATTTAAGTTAGTCAAATTGTCCTTAGCTTCTTCCTCTTAGATTTGTGTTTATAATGTGCATTTAAGCATGATTAGTGAATCAGAATCAGTTATTCATATGCAAACAGGTGCACGATAAATACATTCCTCACATAGTATAATGATGTGAATTTAAAAGTAATACTAAAATGACAAATTGATTAATTGATTAGTTTGTTGTTGGGATAATTAATAAGAAACAATTGTTACGTACAGAAAATGGGCCTCTTCCAATACATATTTGTTATTTTGATTTGTTGTATGTCATTGTAACTTTAATATCTTTGTTTTATTACATTTTAAAGAAGACCACATTATTCAACAATGAAAATAGCACCTTTTTTTCCAGCACAACTAAGCAAAATAAATCTAACTGGAAAACTCAAGCAGGAAATAGATGGTTGTGTTAGCCTACTTCCCAGTCCTTTCTGCAAGTGTTTTTTGGCACGGGTGCTGATACCAATGCTATGACTGTGGTAACACCATCCAGCTTCCTCTTCACTCACAACAACACCGACCTCTTCGTCCCCACCTGCTCTCGGTCAGTTCAAGGTTGTCCCGCAGAACAGGAAGCTTGTAAGTGTTTCCTCATGACATCCTCTGGGGTCAATCTCCTGCCTGGTGAACTGTTGTAGTGGAAAGCCTGTCATACTTACTGTCATTACATACTCATAGCCTTTGTTTTCACTATTCCCCCACCCCAATTATTTCTTCTCTGCATACTCTTGTTCTCAGTTTTATGGAAATGTACACAAATCATAAACTTAGGAATGTGAGCTTTATTGGAAATCTGGTTTAGTTTAGTATAAAAGCCAGAGCTCAAGTGTTGGGCTGACGGGAACAATACGCTCCGATTTGTAGCCGAATAAATGTATTTACATTCTTGTTCTCATCCCTTTAGGCTTTATTTGTTGCTCTTTACTTAGAAAGGCTTTTTGCGATGGAGATGATGCAGCCAAGGCCACCCAAACTACAATTTATGCGTAACGTCAACAATGTCATTTATATTCCCAGAAACTGTGAAAGGGCCAGTTTGTTGTACAGGGGAGTTTACATATCAACTTCTTGTCACTTCCCACTTCTTTTCTCTCTTCCCACCTCTCTGCTAGCATCCTTACTTGAGTTGTTTTACTCTTGCATCTTTGGTGAAATAAATCATACTCTAACTACTAATGCAGACAACTCCAAAGAGCCTGCAGAGTGACGCATTCCTTATTTGAAACACTCACTAAAACCTCAAAGAGAAGGTCTTTTAATAAGCATCAGCCACACACACTTTAAGCTACAGTGAAAAAGTCATTTCTTACTGGAATCTATGTAAACTATAAAGTTGTACAATTTACTGTAAAGATCTAATGTTCTTTGCAAATGCACAAACACTTTTAAAAAAAACATTCATTTAATTGTTATCCTCATATGCTTCCGAGTCTAATTGCATTAATATATTTCAAATTGAATTAAATGATAAGAGGGTTAGCTGATGGTAATTGTGTCCAATACACAGGCTGCCCACACACAGATTAAACCGACAATGTTAAATGAAATTGGTTGGACAACATACATGTCTCACGTGTATCAGTTTATATAAAATTGTTGTATTTGCACTATGATTCCACTTGTGGCTGCTACGTTTCCAGTAACTAGACAAACTAAGAAAAAAATGTATTTGAATCCAAATGTATTTGAATCCAAAGAAATACTGCTTCAACCAATATTTGTTTAGCCTTTCAAATAGAACATTTTCACTGCTTTCTTGCCGTACACAGAGGGAGTCACGCTTTGTTTTTTTTTGCCATATTCGTTAAAGAAAGCTGATTTAAATGACAAAGCATAACACATTTTCTCTAACGAATCACTTTAAATGTAGTATTTTGTTTAGGAACAAACAACAGTTGATACAGTTATAATGCTTTGTTTTTCTTACTGAGAATTGTTAAGTTGTGAAATGGAGTGTTTAAGCTTAACTAGTGTTTTATTGAAAACTAAGGGCTAAAACACACTTAATGTATCATTTTTTTGTTAGTTAAACATCAACATAAAGTTCTATTGATGGTTTAGGTGTCACAAATGTAAGTTGCTAACAAAGGGTCACATGGACAAATTAGTCTAGACATCACATGGCAGGGTCATGTTGTATTTTTTAAATACAAAATTAAACAAGAACACTAACAAGCAGATCTGGAGCTCGACCTGTTTGCCGTTATATGTGCAGCTTTTTTCTCCCTACTATGGTTCAAATACACCAGAAGTCGTTAAACCCTCGATACACAAGAAAGGCGTGAAATCAACCTTAACTCTAGCTTGAGCCCGCCAGCAAGTGTTTCAGTACAATGGTGCCACACACAAACACACAATAAGTAACAGGAAACCTTATCTTAACAAGGCCTTCACTCCAGGTGGACTATTTGCTTTGCTTGGATCCTGTTCAAGAGGCCTGTGTGTAGGGACCATAGACTGTATATATAGGGACGTCCATATCAGAGGCGCTCCGTCTTTAGGGAACCTCACTGTGAATACATTACTCAGCTCAGTGTTGCTGTTCAGACAGAAACACACTCAGACTCCCTCTTTTTCCCATGATTCTTTAAAGATGTCTGCCTGAACCCAGCTGTGAATATAAAGTTGGTTTGAAGATAAATGTGGTTAAAACATAATTACATTAAACAAAGAGGTAGAGAGGATACGAGTGAATGAGTAAATGTAGACAGATGAGATCAGCATATGTAACATATCACAATAACTCTCAACAACCTTTTTAATTCATGTGCAGGATTAACTTAGTCTTCACCTAAAGAGTACACACCGTTTACCTCCCTTTTGTATACTGAACATAATCGTATTTATACCCAGTAAACTTAGTTAGAAACGTTAATCTTTTGAAATCTGTTCCCTCACAGTGACAGAAGCTGGTTTTGGAGCAGACATCGGGATGGAGAAGTTTTTTAACATCAAGTGCCGGGCTTCAGGGCTGAGGCCAAATGCGGTGGTGCTGGTTGCAACAGTCCGAGCATTAAAGATGCATGGCGGTGGCCCAAATGTAAGTTTACATAACACACTGTAATTTAATTGCACCAGATGTCTGTATATTTTCAGTCCTTAAGGCTGCCTTAGACTTTCATAATGTGGTATTTTCCTGTACATTTTCTCAACAGATGTTGTACAATTAAAAAAATCAAAGGCATAGGTGTTTTCAAAAGCCTGAACTAGAATATCACACTGTTAGATAAACAGTCTCAATCACCCGACGTCAATGAAAATGTGCTTTGAGCGGTCATGGTAAAAGCTGCCTGATGGTTAAAAACTGTAACTCAGTAGAAAGTAAACTAGTTTATACAATCTCTGAAAGTATTTTTTGTAAACGCATCTGCAGTATAAAAAACTGAAAGATACATTCCCCCTACTAGACAAATCACAAGGTTACATAAAGGTTTCAGTGTCCTTTTTAATGACTAAATACTCCATCATGTGGTTAAATAAATATGGCCGAAAAACTAAACTAAATGCTATACGCACTGAAGAATGTGAAATAATACTGAAGTGCGTGTTTATTTGTTTTCTTTGTGTGTTTACAGGTGTCTGCAGGCGCACCTCTTCCTAAAGAGTACATTGATGAGGTATGAGCGAATAAGCATAAATCCACACACGTATACACATAAACAAAAGCACTGTAACCAAAAGGAGTAAGAAAGGAAACATAATGACATCAACTTAAAATCAAGTTAAGTAATGAACTAAGCTTGTTTTATTACATTTAGTGGTAAAGGTCAGGATGTTCTGAAGAAATGTAAAGCTTTCAAATGGCATCGGCTAATGCAAGGCTCCCATTATAGAACAATCATGTGCTCAATAACATCACGCTGTTTCTGTTACTGTGTGTTGTTGATTGACTGACACGAGATCATGCGCTTGACATTCCCATCGTGACTTTAAAGAAAGAAAAGATTGGGATGACCTGCCTCACTACATATTGGTGCAACACAGTCAATACACACAATATTTCATATCACCTATCAAATCCTTTATGCTAGGTGTGTGTGTAGCATTAGCCAAGGGAAATAAGCCATCATTCCACACATATATAGAGATTTTACAGAGATCAGCTGTATTCTCTCGGACATTTGATTCCCAGCTTACAAGCATACATACCTCCCCCACTAACATGGTTAAGAGCACTTATTTGATTAACAGCACAAATACAACCTTTGCTTCGGGTTTCCGGGTTCGTGGTTTTTTGCAAAGTGGAGGTGGGATTCTTCCTGTGTATGAGTGTGGATTGGAGCTCATATCTGGCTAACATCACTGGCCAGGTTCAGCTGAGTAAATAATGAAGCAGTATAAGTTAATTCTGAAGCCTGTAACAAGAACCAGAAGTACTGGGGAAAAACAGAGCCAGGGAAATTAATTTATGGGACCTTCATGGCCTTTCTGCTCTGAGCCAGGGGCTGCATGCACACACACATGCACACACAGGCACGCACACACAACACACACACAGTGCATGATTGGATTACTGTGGCCGAACTTGGGAGTATCTGGCTGCACAATATGCTATTAATGTGCTCTGTAGTAACTGGCCTCCTGCACATGGTAGTATACAATGTAAGAATGATACATGACTAACTGCCCACAGTAGGATACTACCCGTTTTATTCTATTAGGGTATTTCCAGAGCGGGAGGGGGTAGTCCACGTTATGCCGTGAACGACCAACAAGCAGTTTAAATACAATGATAAAGCTTTGACCTTTTGACCTTTTGACCTCCTTCTGTCTTTTTCTCCTCTAGAATCTGAGTCTGGTTGCAGGCGGATGCCGCAGCAATCTCAGGAAGCAGATCCAGATAGCTCACCTGTTTGGGGTGCCGGTCGTGGTGGCGCTTAATGTCTTCAAGTAAGATGCATGCAGACACACACATTCACACAATTATAAGCTAATACAAGTCACCAACTTTTCAATATATGCATAGAAATGGATCGTGGTAGGTAGTACGTGTAGTTGAGTTGCAGGATTCGTTTTTTATTCTTACTCAAGTACATCTGTAATAAAATATATTAACTACTACTCCAGTTACTTTGGGATACTCACTACTTTTACTGATACATTTAGCTGTTAAAAAATGTTTTAGATTTAGATGAGCTTACATGCACAGCACCAATTGTCTGGCAGATTAGATAAGACTTTTTTACGAGGTAAATTTAAACTGTTAATGTTTTACTTTAACATGAGTCAATATAACTTGAAGTAAAAATACCTTTCTTTGAATAATACAACTACTTGAGTACTGGTTTTTGTTCTTTACCCACCACTAAGGAGCAGTAATAGGATAGTCTGCACATTCCCTGTGCACACAAAAGCACCATTTTGTAACTTTAATATGTATCTTAATCTCAATATGTAATTTCTCACCATTACAAACAAGCACTGCTTACAATGTTTCCTCTGGTGATTTCTGTAGGACGGACACCCAGGCAGAGATTGACCTTGTATGTGAGATAGCAAAAGAGTGTGGAGCATCTGAAGCTGTGCCGTGTCACCACTGGGCGCAGGGCGGCCGCGGCTCCATCCAGCTCGCCAAGGCTGTCCATGAGGCTGCCAGCAGAACCAGCGACTTCCAGTTCCTGTACAACACGGAGGTGAGAGCAGATACTGTAGAGGGAAAATCACAAAAAAGTCTGTTTTTCAGTTTATGTGCACTCTAGGCTTCAAGTCTCCACATCACACTTGATTTAGTTGCACATTGGACCAGGATTTGCACCCAAACTGCTCTCGATGTCATAAACTATGCTTGTGTGAAACTAAGATATAAGTTGAGCACAACATAACTGAAAAACAAAACTCTGCACATACTGTAATGTACATCATTCTGTATAGTGAAGCTCAAAAACCCAGGTAAAGTAACTATAAGCAAGCTGTGAATGATGCTGCTACCAGAATCAGGGACTGCAGAGAAAGATGAAAAACTAGAAAGTAACTCAACTTTTGCAGACCTACGCAACGGCCAAATATCACAAATTGAATAAAGAAATAATGTATGTTTTTGCCCTGGGATTCATATCCTCTCCAAATTGTAATGTGCCACCAATTTTCATGAAAATTCTGCCAATAGTTTTTTCTGAAAAACAAACGGACTGAACCGAAAACACATCCGCCTCGATGAAGCTAATAAAGGAATGCAGTGTCTAGTGTGAGACGCACAATAAAAGTCAAACATGTTAAATGATTTAATTTGCACTGTGTAGCCCTGGTTACCCCTGACGCCACACGGACGTGTACACACAAATCTAATTTGCTTGATTACTTCCTTTTGAGTGCACATGTTGTTTCCACCTACTTCTCATGCAATGTTTCCCCCTTAGATGCCAATAGTGGAGAAGATCAGGACAATTGCCCAAAAAGTGTACGGAGCTGATGACATAGAGCTGACTCCAGAGGCCAAGGCTAAAATTGATTACTACAATCAACAGGTGAGATCATTATAAGCACTGACTTTCCCATTGTCGGCTGCTCACCTCCTCCTGTCTTTTTGTGTCTTTATAACTTACACACATAAAGACATATTAACCGATCTTGTTTTCTCCGTCCTATATTTAGGGATATGGTTCATTGCCCATCTGCATGGCCAAGACTCACCTGTCCCTGTCCCACATGCCTGACAAGAAGGGCGTACCCACTGGATTCGTTTTGCCAATCCGAGATGTTCGTGCTAGCATTGGGGCTGGTTTCATTTACCCACTTGTGGGAACGGTACGTAACGGTATAGTGCAACAGCTCAGAGCAGTCTGCTAATGTTGACTTCAGTCTGAGTGACTTGTAGCTCACTGAGACAGAGTTTCTCTTAAATTCCATTCAAAATGGCATTTAAAAAGTCTTAGTAGAACATTTGCCCGCAGGAAAATGAATGATTACATTTCTACGTAACTTCGGGTTGGGCAAATAAGCAGCCGTTTGCATCAAGTTCCACATATCAACTCAAACGTGATCATCTGTCAACATCTTTTCAATGCACCCAGTTAGCCAGAAAAGTTCAGCTATTCCAATAATGAAGTCAAATCTGAAACAAGTTGGGCATGTTTACCCTCAAAGATGTATATGCATTTTGTCTTTGAACCAAAGATTGTTGTATTGGTGCATTACAGATTATCTTTGAAAAGTTTTATGATCGAATTAGTTTTGACTGATAAGCGTCGTAAATAAACGGATGTGTGTACAAATCAGTTGTCTTGGGAGCCTGGTCTTAAAGTGCCCGGACTTCACACTTTTTGTCTTGGTTACTTCTTAAGTGTCTCCAGAGAGCTAGTAGTTATGTTCATGACTCTAGACAGCTCTGCGACCATCTCCCCACATGGGATCATGCAGGTGCTATAAACATTTCTCGTCATACTTCATCCTCTTGTTTTCCTGACCACCTTATTACTGAGCTGGTTAGAGGTGAGCTGGGCTAGCTGGAGCCTCTCTGCCGATGATAGGCCAGGCAGGAAGGAAGCCGCTTCCTGAGCGTTTTGCCTCCTGCTGTTTCACCAGCGTGCCCTTAGGGATGGACTTTGATTCACTGAGGTTGAGGTGTCAAACGCCGGGCATGCTGGGAAAGGTATGGCAGCGTCTGTCCAGTCTCCCAACCCTTGCCTTTGATCTGCTGTGGCCCGCGGAGCCGCTGGCACGTTGACAACCCTTGAACTGTGACTCCTCACCCAAAGGAAGTCTCCAAAATGCTCTTTGAACTCATTGGCTTAGCCTCCGTCTACCAGACTGATCCAAAGAGATTCTCCAGCCTCAGCTATGACAATTTGAACTTTTTTTTTAGGTTAAAACGTCAAGGTTATTCAATTTTCCTGTCCTTTACAGTATCGCTAGAGGGTTATATTTCAAATATTTTGAAAAGACATTGAAAGAGACCCATTAGGAGGAAATGTAGCGGGTGAAAGTAAAGCAAGAACAGAGGCTAGCGTGTGAGCATCTACATACTGTCACATGAACTTGAAGCAATCATCTCATTACATCAAATACAAAGTGTATTATCTTCCTTTTTATTAAAAAACAAAAAACATAAACATAATTTTGCTTCTTCATAATATGTTTTTTTGTTTTAATTACCAAACTCTGAGGTCATGAGAGACTCCAAAAAGTGGAAAAATCTCACCAGCCAAACTCCTGAAGCGGTTAGCGTGAGTGTGAGAGAAGAGGGAGAGTTTGAGGGGGTTAGGGGTCTTTACAGGGTGAAGAATCAGGAAGGGGCTGATGTCATTCTCCAGATATGTGAGGGAGGGGTCACTAGCAGAACAATAGATCTCTTTAGAGTTCATATCCCGTTAGAGCTGCCCCACTGCAGATTTATAGAAACCCCTCTCGATGACTGCATTTTCCAGGATTGGTTAATAATTGACAAGATGTGAATCGGCTAAGCGCTGTGATAACATCTAAGAGAGAAAGCACTCATAGGAGGAGAGTAGACCTTCATTTATGTGGTGAATTTAATGAGCCAAAGACCAGCTAACTCAGTAAATCCAGGCAGCTCTTCCTCTTTGAAACTGACCTTTTCTTCAACTGCAGTCTTACTTCAGTTACAGTGAAACTAATGTAGAGATGTAACATGACACTGCGGTTGTATTGATATATATTTTTCTGGTAGTTAATATTTATGTAGTCACACTTAACCTGAGCCCTAAACAACACTCAGACTTGTCTCTGTGAAGTTCAAAGTGCTCCCTCTGGGAAACAATTCACTCTCAGGTGAGAGTTCAAACTGCAGCCGTGAACTCTTCGATCTCATCAATGTAACTCCACCTGTCTAGTCACCAGGTAATTATGTTCATCCATTTTGACAAGAGTCATTGGATGAACTTACAGCCCAACATTAGGAGCATCAATGACCCTGTTTATTAAATGTTTACTCGCACGCTTGCTGTTATTTTAACATTGATCTCCTTCTAACGCTCCATTAATTTTAAATGGTACAATTTTATAATCCCCCTCAATCCCCTTCTGGGCCTGTTGTTGACCGAGGCTCTCCTCCAGAATCAGTGGGGGGTAGATATCCAGCTACATTGTCTCTTCCAGGGTTTCCCCCAACAAAGAAGCATTGTGTTTGGGCATAATGGAGGGACTCATTTGGCTGAGTGGAGTTTCCAACTTTAGCCACGGAGTGTTGTGTGTTTTTGCGAGTGCCAACTTGTTCTCAGGCTGGAGAGGAGCAGCAGAACAGCGCATCCTTTGTTGCTTTCAAACCTTGGCAGTTAGTCTTCACATTTAGCATCTTTTGATATTTAAATGTGCAGCCTGATACTGAGGACCAGAAAGCTGAGAGAAGTTTGGGTATCAAATGATTTCAAAGCAGTTCTTTTTTTAGTTTTCTTTTTGTGAGTTTAGAATTTGTTATTTCATTTCTTCCTCTGAGAGGTATAGTCCAACTGAGGGGCGATAGATATTTCTTTATTGCAGCTCTGCTTTGTTATTTATGATGGCAAGACGGGTGCATTGTCAAGCTTTCTCACCACATTTGATGGTAATAGTAGCTCACTCTGGACGGAGGTCCTCTTTAGCAGTGTGAACTACAACCAGCATGGCCTACCTCCCGGTTTGTTATTAACAATAAAGCAATGATTTTTACTTTGATCCATTAAATACATTTACAATATAGGAAACAATTATGGTATTATAGTTAGTCATTTTATTGTCTTATTGGACATTTGTATGGCCCTGCCATTTAATTTTCAAACAAAACACAGCGATATTTAAAAAAAGAAAGTCTGTAGATGTAGCTTTTTTCTAAACTTATCCTTCTATCTTGTGATATACACATGCTTGTACATCATGACTATTCAGGAAGAAAAAACATATTTTCTGATGCAGTTTAGTGCTTAACCTTGGAGTGTTTCATGCCAAGCCGTATAATGTGCTTCAACAGTGAGTCACATGGCATTGTGTGGGAAAATGTAAGTTCATTTTATTTCAAAGACCAGGGACCTGAATAGCTTCTCCAACTGATCAATTCCTTAGTGACGTCACGCAGCAGTGTTTGGATGTTGTGATGTTACATCTAAAAGAAAAGTAGAGTAATCCCTCTGCCATCATTGTTCCTAATGTGTCCATTAGAATAAAGGGTGACGCATTGATGTTGAATTCCTTTAATGCTGTTTTAGTCTGAGTCATCTTTAGTTAAAGCTGTATTGATGGTCGTGACCCAGAGCAGAGTCGGGAAACTGTGGCAGTCACTGTTGATATCAGACCAGCCAACAATAAGAGGGAGCCGTTAGCATCCGCTCTGTGGGATTATGTAAGCCTGCACTCCTCATTCTGTCCCTTGGTTTACATGCAGTTTCCTCAGACAGGAAATTGGCTGGTCACTTCCTTCTGTCTTATGTCCACTAATGGGCCCATAAAACTGGCCCTGGGTCAGAGGGAAGGAGGCACGCAAAGAATGTTGCTCCCTGTCTAATGAGCAAGATAATTACCTTTTTTAGCTTGCATGTGAATTGTACTGATTTTTCTTTTCATCTGTCATACCACAGACACTAGGGCAACTCATTTATTGATTGGAAACTTAAGATTCAAATTAGTTTCGGCACCCAAACCAAACTAAAAAAGCTCTCAATTACGCTGTTAACTCCAGCATGTGCTGTTGACGTCTGGTCTCGCTGACTGTACTACATGGTCCCCCCTGATAGAAGCGAGCTATCAGCTGGTAATAGTAACCCTCATGATCATATACAAACACACACACACACACACATCTAAAAGTACCTTTCTTTTCTTACGCTAATTTAGATAAAAATGCAGCTTCTTTTAGCTTATTATCTATCCAATTAATCTCAATGTGATTCTTGAAACTCAGGAGTTTTGTCTGACCTCCGTCCCTCGTGCAGTTTGATAGTCATTATCCCCAGTAGGATTTTGGATATGGCCTTCAAACGTTGTCTTGTATCTGAGAGTTGTCCCCTTTGTTATCTATATTTTGAAGACAGTTAAAACAAAGCCACCATTGTCTCAATTCATCACTGCTAAAGTAGAGGTTGTCTACACATTGATCCTCTGTCTGCCCAGAGTTAATGACTCTAGATTCTAGTTATTGAACCTGCAGGGGGTGATCCTCTCTGTCTATGCAACGTTTCATACCAAGGCGGGCCGTATTGTGTTTGGGTTTAAAACAGCCGTGTTGTGGCAAAGGCTTTAATATGAGGTTACAGTTACTATCTTGATAGTAATCTTAAAGGTGACCTATCATGCAAAATGCACTTTTGTACGTCTTTTATACATGAATATGTGTCCCCGGTGTTCCAGGGAACTCACCAAGTGTCAGAAAACACAACCCTCTCTATTTTCCTCCATACCCAAATCTCTTAAAAAGGGGCTGCAACGGATCTGATACAGACTGATCCAGATTTGAACACTTCTATGACGTCACAGAAGTGGCGCTACGGCTATTGGGCCAACTCCACCAATCAGGAGGAGACAGCCACGGACATTGCCGTTCGAAAGCGCTGGAGACGCTGTAGTACATATGCCAGACCTGTAGATGGTGCTGTTCTCACAGAATCAGCCCATGCAAAGACAGTGTTCAATTGAGCGAAATGAGGAATGGCTAAAATGCATGATCTGTTTGGTATTTTGAAAAATAAAAAGTATAAATATGCCTTATATAGGTATGGTCCTACACTATATTATTCAAATATAGCATGATAGGTCCACTTTAACGTTCTTATATTGTTCTGATGTCACTGACATTCTATGAGACAAAAATATAAACCATCTGCAAGTACTTGATCATCAGGGAGGTCCCTTCCTTCAGCAGATAGAAGAAATAATGTGGTGTATTCTTTCATGTCATCTTTTGTTATCATTTATTTGAGATGTATCAGTATATTTATGTTTTTCATAAATAAACTGCTTACAGTTTGTATGTGTGTGTAAAGCATATTTCAGTGCAGCTGCGTTGTCTCCCACATGGCGTGTGTATCACATAAATTCACAGGGGACACTTTTTCACTTTTATTGAAGAAAGATCTGGAAAAATGTGCAATTATTTCTTTAAAGATAAGTAGAGTGTTTTTTTGTGTGCTTTAAAAGTAAAATACTTTAAATGGGAAAACATTTGGTTAGGGCAGCCAATCTTGCATTGCGAGTATTTTTGTACCATATTTTATTGGACCCAAACACCTGAAACGAAAGCCACATTTAAAAAATCACAAAGTTTTACAAGATAAAGGATTACATCTTCATCTTAACCGTCATGATTTTTTTAATAAATCTAATTCTATTTACATGTAAACAGTTTACCTGCACTATTTGTATCGCACTATTGTATTATATGATATTGCTTCTTATGTCTTAAGTTCCCTCCAGTTAAGTTCCCTCTCTCTGCTTGTGTTGTGTCCTCAGATGAGCACCATGCCTGGCCTGCCAACCCGACCTTGTTTCTACGACATCGACCTTGACCCGGTCACAGAGGAGATCACTGGGCTCTTCTGAAGCGTGCTTCAAAGATAGATGTTGTCTCAGGTATCCTCTATTGCACATCAACATAAAATGTTCCATAAACCGTCCCAGCCTTTTTGAAGGATCATCCATTGTGTCATTATAAATATTTTACGAGCAGCCTTTGTCTCTATTGCTAGACTTTATTTCCTCCCTGGAGTGTTTAGTTTACTACCTCATTCACTCAGTGCCAAGACTCCAGTCTGTGAGGATACTCTTATACACTCTTTAGATCAGCCCGTCAGTCTCGTGCAGCTCGCTGAACCTGTAATAAGTGACCCGACAGTAAAGAATACACATATGTATAAGTATAACTAGTATAGCTAGTTCCAGAGTAGATGAACTAGCTAAGTGTATTAGGTCTAACTCTTAGTGTATTTCATTTTGCTCCGCTCAACGGTCCGCGGCGGAGCTGTGATCCGGTAGAGCTGCGTGTTCTCCGTCAGCAGCAGCTGATCTGATCTCTCTCTCTCGCGTCCGGTTAGACTTCACTCGCGTTTATGTCCAAATCTATCAGATCTAGCTATTTCTAGCTAATGATATGACTGCCTGCTTATCAAAGGACACCTAAACAATAAGCGTTGCTTGGCAACGGCTTGTGGCTGCAAAGTATAGCGCAGCATTATGCATATTTTTATATGAGGGGTCAAAATCCCATGCTCATAAAATGCTCATATTTTTTTTCTCTTCATTCTCCACGCCCCAAAATAAATAAATATACAAATATAACAATTTTAGGAAAAGTGACGAAGTTTGAGCAGTGTGGGTTTTATATTAACAGAGTTATACATATTTCAAGTGTAATAACTGCAGTTTG